TTCTTACTTCTGACAATAAGTTTCTAAGTTCTAAATTTGACACTTCTACATCCTTGTCGCCACCACCTACAAGATATAACTTTAAAAAAAGCTGACTTAACTGGTCTTTATGTATTTTTATCTGATGTTGATTGGTCATGCTTGAAATTACATAATGATGTAAATTTAGTTTGTGAAGAATTTCTCACTATTATATTTAATACGTTTAATAAATTTGTTCCAGTTTACAAAAAAAAGCAAAATTGTAGTCATCGTTATCCACCTTGGTTTGACCAATCAATAATTAATGACATAAACATTAAGAAAAAATTGTTAAAAAAAGACATTTATCCGAGTATAACGCTGAACAAATAAAGTTATTATCTAATTCCTTACATAAACGTATAAAAAAGAATCGTATTCAATACATTAAATCTGTTGAAGATGCCCTCAAAAATAACCCCAAGGAATTCTGGAGATTTGTTAATAGAAATAAAAAAAATTCGCCTATTCCTGATGTAATGTACAGTGATAATTTAATGCTAGATACACCTATTTCTATTGTGAATTCTTTTGCCGATCTTTTCTCTTTTCATTCGAAAGCAACTTTCTCTTCAATTAATGTATCAGATAATATTCAAAATTTAGAATATTTTTGTAATAACCCTTTCCAATTTAAGGAGCAAGAACTAACTAAGGCTGCTAAATCATTGAAAGCAACATTTGTTTCTGGTCCGGATAATATTCCCAGCTTCATAGTAAAGGATTGTGCATCAGTACTAGCTGAACCACTGACACTTATTTTTAATTAAGCCTTGAAATCAGGTATTTTTCCTCATGTTTGGAAAGAGGCCAAAATCATACCAGTGTATAAGGCTGAAGAGAAGTCCAGAGTGACCAATTATAGACCTATTGCCCTTTTGTAAAATTTTGCTAAAGTTTTTGATCGAGCAATTCTAAATTCAATACTGTCACCACTTATGAATATAATTATTGACGAGCAACATGGCTGCGTTCAAAATCGATCTATTCTTACTAACTTGGTTACTTTTACTCAAATAGTTAATACTGCTTTGCAAAGGGGATTACAGGTCGACGTTGCTTACCTGGATTTCTCAAAGGCCTTTGATACTATTGACCACCAAATATTAGCTAGGAAAATGGAAAACTTGGATTTGCCGAACAATATTACTAAATTGGTTTTAAACTACCTGGTCAATAGATCTCACCGTGTCACGATTGGACAACACTCTTCCTACGTATTTTTTCTAAGTTCTGGTGTTCCTCAGGCGTCTTCCCTTGGTTCCCCATTATTTAATTTATACATTAATGATCACGGTGAGCTTCGTTTAGGTTCAACCTAAACTGCATGACCCTTCTCAGGTTTTTTTTTATATCAATTCGGTGATGCCTCACGATCATTTTAAGACGAAAATTAAAATAATCGTTGGAGGGAAACTCAAATTATATTGATTTTTAAATTTTTTTTCTAGGTTATTGAAAATATTTTCATTAAAATACCGTTTGGTAAAATACTTATTGCTTCAAAAGCTACAATTTAACATAAAAATAGATTATATATAATAATTAAACCATTTTGATACATAGAATTAAGAAAATGTTTAAAAATAGTCGAAAAAACTGAAATTTTTCTAATTTTTTAAACTTTACTCCTTTATTTAACGTTATTTCAATAAAGTCATGTAGAAGTGAATTAAAGTACATAAAATTTCCTGTAAATCAAAAAAAACTCTTCTATCTATTACTGTTACAAAAATATGGTCATTTGAATTTTAAATTTAATGGATAAATAGTTAAAATTTAACATTAGGTCTAGATTATTTGGTAAAATTGTTTTCGCAGAACCTCATCTCAATTCCATAATATAATACGTATAAGAAGGTTTAATCTTGAACAGTTTCAAATTGAAAAAACTGATTTATCTCACTTACATCGAAAGTTACATTGGTTTAAAGAATGTCTATTTCTATAAGAGAGATTTGAGTAGTTTTTAAAAATCCGTTTATTTTGAAATATTTGTACCTTACCATTTACTTTTTAAAAAAGTAAATATTTTAAATATGATTATGTTGCATTTTTCAAAATAAACGGATTTTTAAAAACTACTCAAATCTCTCTTATAGAAATAGACATTCTTTAAACCAATGTAACTTTCGATGTAAGTGAGATAAATCAGTTTTTTCAATTTGAAACTGTTCAAGATTAAACCTTCTTATACGTATTATATTATGGAATTGAGATGAGGTTCTGCGAAAACAATTTTACCAAATAATCTAGACCTAATGTTAAATTTTAACTATTTATCCATTAAATTTAAAATTCAAATGACCATATTTTTGTAACAGTAATAGATAGAAGAGTTTTTTTTTTGATTTACAGGAAATTTTATGTACTTTAATTCACTTCTACATGACTTTATTGAAATAACGTTAAATAAAGGAGTAAAGTTTAAAAAATTAGAAAAATTTCAGTTTTTTCGACTATTTTTAAACATTTTCTTAATTCTTTGTATCAAAATGGTTTAATTATTATATATAATCTATTTTTATGTTAAATTGTAGCTTTTGAAGCAATAAGTATTTTACCAAACGGTATTTTAATGAAAATATCTTTAATAACCTAGAAAAAAAATTTAAAAATCAATATAATTTGAGTTTCCCTCCAACGATTATTTTAATTTTCGTCTTAAAATGATCGTGAGGCATCACCGAATTGATATAAAAAAAACCTGAGAAGGGTCATGCAGTTTAGGTTGAACCTAAACGAAGCTCACCGTGTGATGTAGTTTAAACACCGACTCTTATATTCTTATTTTCGCGGATGACGTGAAAATCTTCCGAATTATTTACTCTATTTCAGACGCTATTTCCCTCCAATCTGACTTAAATAATATTCTTTTATGGTCAAAAAATAATTTACTTCCGTTAAATGTTAAAAAATGCCATATTCTTTCTTATACTAGACGTAACGATCCTTTGTTCTATAATTATAAAATAGATGTAACTTTTTTGGAAAGTGTGATTTCCACTTGTGATCTCGGTGTGATTTTTGATAACAGATTGTTATTCAATGAACAAATATCTAATGTAGTGACATCGGCATCTATGGCTCTTGGTTTTCTCATCAGATCATCAAAAGGTTTTAAAAATCTATCTACTTTAATATTACTTTTCAATTCACTAGTACTTTCGCGTATATCTTTTTCTTATATTATTGCTAATCCTGTTTTTCAAAAATACAATGATGACTTGGAGAGAATTCAAAAGAGATTTCTGAAATTCTTGGCATTTAAATTGGATGGTTATTATCCCCTTCAAGGATCTGACTATGATTGTTTATGTAGACGTTTTAACTTCCGCACAATTGCAAACCGACGTATTTTTTTACTTCAGCCCTTTTCATTTTCAAAGTACTTAACTCTCAAATTTATGCTCCTCATATTTTATATATGATTAACTTAAGAATTCCTAACTTTTCAACCCGTAATTTCGAACCTTTTTATCTTGATACCCCAAGGAAATCATTTGGCACTACTACACCTATTTTTTATTCTTGTAATCATATCAACAAATTATTTTCTCAAATGAATCCGGACGTGGACTTATTTTTTTAATCGGCAAAAGTATTCACATCCACTCTTAATTCCTATATCGATTCTTTATAGTACCTACGACATTTGTATCGTGCAATCAGTTGCCAGTAAGGTTTTAACTATTATTTTTGTATCAGGTTTTTCATATTTTATTTTTCTTTGTACTATATACTTTACATATTTACTTCACATATTAATTATTTTATTTTTGTATTATCTATATTTTGTTAGTATCTCCTTTTAGTTACCCATATATGGTCCAGTAGGACTGCGGGAACTGGTGATGTAAATAAATAAATAAATTATTAATCATTAAATGTTCTTTCTTGTAATGAATAAAAATTTTAAATGTATAAATTTCATTCTAAATGTTTTGCTGTAAATCAAGAATGCTTTAAAAAATATTTCAAGGTTAGAGAAAAAAGAAGTCTGGCTGCTTTAGAGGGACAAATTAAGAGCGGTTCTTTTACACGACCATTGCCAGATAAGTTTGTTTTGAATGGAGGTACCAATGTATATTTTAAATTTCTAAATTTCCTTAAACTAATTAACCTAGCCTCTTTTTCAGAAAAGTTTGCAAGAACTACACGCGATAATGAAATACGATTTGTTGCTATTTATTCTAACACTTAAACTCTAAAAATATTGCTTTAATTAATATTAATATTTACACACGCCACTTTAAAGCGTTCTTGAGCACAAGCCTGCAATAATTCTGCTACCAACTTTTTGGTAAAACTTTTTCAATTTAAATTGCCTGAATCAAAAAAATTAAATATGATTTTATGTGTTATTACAATCTGTAGATATAGACACGAGCTTCTTAAAAAAATTTCAAATATCTTATTTTAACAAGTTTCTTTCTACAAGTAATTGACTTTTTATTATTTTTTGAGCTAATAAATGTAGGTAGTATTTATAACCAAACTAAATCAAAAAATTATTGACCAAAATCTTGTAGTCAAAGTCATAGCAAATTATTGAAAAACACGAGTTTTTGATAAACGGGATTAAACATAAATAATTTAATAAAACATGATGGGAGAAACTTATGATTTGATCACTTGTGACCACTATAAAAAAAACATGGAATAATAAAATAATTTACTGAAAATAATGGTAACGCTACCACCCACTTCAGAAGCTAGTGGAAGAATCGAACAGACGATCATATTGGCGCTTCAATTACTCATCAACTAAAAGGATTCCTCAATTTCATTTATGGGAGCACATGTCTAATAACCTCTAGCTTAGAACTATGCAAAAAAAAGAAAAATCAATTTTTTTAATACCAAAAGTGGAGTTCCCCCTCAATATCGCTTAGCTTAAAGTTGTCTCGTAATTCAGAGCGTCACATACTGCCCGAATTTATTATAATATAGTTATTGCTAAAAACATGTATACAAACCTTGAAGTGGAGTTTGACTGGCAAGTTTATGTCGATGACCAGTTTCGATGAGCAAATCGAATATAAGAGTAGCAAATTCTTTTGGCGTAAAACGAGCCAATTTTTGTCTTCCTTGATTTCTAGTAGAAGAGAGACGTGGATTCACAGGTAAAAATGGAACTGCGCATCTGTCCGGAAGAGAAGCGACTGAGAGCCAAACTATACGTTGAAAAAAAATAAAGTAACATCAAAATCAAATTTGGAGGGATATCAATCTCAATAAAGTGAGAATAAAAGTCTATCCTGCTTATAATATAAATATATATGAAAAAAAATTTTTCCAACACTTGTGTACGAAGTGCGACTTTGGGGGTAGAACCAGACACTAAAGTTCAAAGTAAATTTTTTCCATGTTGACGGGGCTGGTTCAGAAATAATCATTGCTGTTTTTTGTTTTGCAAAATTTTAATTTCTTTAAGAGTTATTGATTAAACTTCTAAAACTCAACAAGATCAGAGTTAGAGTAGTGGTCAGGCTGCTCACAGGACATGGCCTCATGAACTACCATCAGCACAAAATAGGTAGAAACGTCTCACCTAGGTGCAGATTGTGTGACGCAGAAGAAGATTCTTCTACTCACATTTTATGTCACTGTCCAGCTTACGCTGCAGCGACACATAGGATAGGATAGGATAGGATTCGCGACCTCTCGGTAGAAGAGTTACTGGACTTTTAGAATAAGACAGCACTCTAAAGACTAGGTTCGAGCTTGCCGGGGTTAGGTGCAATGCGTCTTGCGACTTAAGTACCAACACTCGTACTAGGGGAGTTCGGTATAAGCTTGTTTTGGATTAGATTAGATTTAGATTAGGTTATTCTTTAAACAATTTTTAAGAATTCAATTAGAAAAAAAATCTTTTCTACCGTTCTATTTGATGGGTATTGCTAAAATTTGGTATGAGTAATATACAATAATGATGCTTTAAAAAAAAATTGGTTTGATTTTGTCCATAATTTGTTAAAAATAGCAATTATTATAAACAACTGATAATAAAATAAACTTCAGCGCCTAATTTCATATTTTTTCTTGACAATTATGATTCCCTATTTTATCACGAGTATTTCAAAAAAAAATAAAAGTCATTATATTGCATTAGGTCAAAAGTTATTAATATATTTGTGATCGTGCTCCGCCAACTAAGAGCTAAGCCTCCAACAGTTGGACGTAAAACACGGCCGTGGACAAATTAACATAGAGCCTATAAATTTGAAGTGATTTTGACGTTCTTGGTCTTGTTTTAAAGATCATAAAATTTTGCATAACGTCTTTAGGGTCAGCCGGGGTAAATCCGAACGCTAATTATTTCAGCTTAATTAAAATTTTAAAAAATAAGTTAGACATGAGAATTTTTACCTCAGATCCTCTTCAAGAGATTCTAAGTATTATCCCATTTTTTGTTTGTTAATTAGCAACAGCATAAACAAAGATAACGAGTATTGCAAAGAAGATTGAAAATCAAAGATGACACTCTTTCAGTATTTTGTCTCGTATTTGAAGAAAAAGAAGCTAAAAATTCATTTTATTATTTATAATTGTTTGTTATGAATACTAGAACAGAAACTATTTTTCATTTTTGCCTTCTGTAAAATTTTATTAATAATATCAGACCGTTCGTATTTACCCAGGAAAATTGAAAAACCGGGGTAAATCCAAACTGTATTTTCAATAATTTTTTCTTATATCAGAGCCACACAAAATTGTTTTTATTTGATTACACTATTATTTTAACATTATAAAAGTACATAGAAAAAAGTTTTTCTTTCTATATGTATCCTCGTTAGTAATTAATAAGCAGAAACTTAATCTCTGTTCTCTCGAAGGAGTGTTCCACTTTTTTTTGCCAAATGGTTTGTTGAAAAAAGTTTTTCAGGATCTTAATAAAATTTGGTATTCTAGGGTTTTTGGGGTCGCTGATTACCAATTTGAAGTCAGTTTTTCAAAATTAAAAATGTCGGACGAGAATTAAAAAATTCATTGGATTCGCTCGAAAATTGTTACTCGGGGGGTTTCAGGGTCGCTGATTACGAATTTGGAGTTAGCAAATTTGATCATTTTTAAAAATAAGTTTTAGGAAAGTCCGCCATTTTGAATTTAAAAAATTTGACTTTTATTTTTGTATTTACATTCAATCACTCCAAAATACTTTCTGTACCAAGTTTGGCAAAAATCCGTCATGATTTGATAAAGTTATTAAAAGTTTTAACTGTGTAATGCATTTTAATTTTTAACCTGTTTGATTTTTGTATTTATATATGATGTATTATTACATAATAGGTTTATTATCGTATTTTTTTGAGTTTTTATATAAGTTTAACAATTGCAATACTTTAAATTTATTTTCCCTAAGATTTTTATGAAATACAGTGGCGTTCGTATTTACCCCGGTATTTTAGGAAAGTTGCAAAGTATCGAGGTAAATACCAACGGTAACTTTCCTGCGATTATAATTTATCAAAAATTTTTGCTACCCCATAAAATTGTTCTATGGAAGTAAAGTAACAACTTCATGCACCAGGATACCGGAAGTATTGTCTTTTAAAAGAAAAAACTTATGTTGTTGTTGAAACTTACTAAAAGCATTCGTATTTACCCCGGCTGACCCTAATGGTTTTTTGAAAAAAAATTTTTTTCGATTGTTTATTTAATGTTAAAGTTGAAAAAAAAATTTTCCTACTTAAAAACAGCTTAACTTTTTAGAAAAGGTGATTATTACCCATTTTTATGGTACCGTTCACGGAGTGCACCGAAACGGAACCCTCATGGTATCACTCATGTCCGTCTACAAAATTATGTCCCCCCCTCTAAAACCTAGCCATTTTAAACGATTATCCTAAAACTTGGTATAAATACGTATTATTGCGAGTAGATTTAACGAAAATTATAGCGAATCCGATTGCATTTGAATTAAATACAGTTATATTCCAAAAACTCGAAATTTCGGAAAAAAGCGTGCCCCCCTTAACTTTTATAGTTTTCGAGCTAAGAAGCTGAAACTTGGTACACATATTTAATTTCATGTGTAGATTTGACGAAAAATATAGCAAACCCTTTTAAAATTAACTTAAATATTGCTTCGCTACAAAAACTTAAAATTCCTGAAGAAGGCTAAAAATTCCTTTTTATCTTAACTTTAACAATTTTTTAGCCAACCATCTCAAACTTTGTACATATATATGTATATATTTATTAGCAAATTGAAAACAAATTATAGGAAAATTATTTTTTCAAAATATATATAAACATTTAAATAATCGTGAACGGAACCCTAGGTAAGTGAGTTGTCGCATTTGACCAATTTTTTGCATTTGAGATGCAAAACCAGAATATGTTTCTAGGTGAATAGAAATATATTTTGGTCAATCCATTATATTTCGACTGAAATCGTTGCTGACTAATTTTTAAAAATTATAATACTTTACAGGAATGATTTTGAAGTTATCAAAATCATGAAGTGAAAAGAATTTTATTAAAAATTTATTTACTTATTGTAAAATATGAATTTAAAGTATATGAGGTGCTGAAAACTGTCAATTTTTTAGCCATTAGAAAATATGCAAAAAAACATAGAATTTAGGTACCATAAAAATAAAAAACTAGGTGTTCATTTCATGACCATTTAGCTTCCTCATCATGATACACATACACATTCAAGATTAAAAGAAGGATTACAATTAAAATAGCAATCAATTTTATAATTATTGGTAAAATGTAAACTTTATATACATCAGTCGATTCGTTTTCATGCCAGGAATACAATTTTGCCAAGAATTAATTAAATTTGTTTTCAAAAATTCAAAAAAATGATTTAATCTACAGATTTCAGTAAAATATGAACTTTATATAGATTAATCGATTCGTTTCAATGCAAGAAATAAGTTTTTTTACCAAACAAAATTAAATTTACACAGAAAAAAATATTTTGAAAAAATTGTAAAAAAAATGTTGTGAATATATTTTGAAATCCTTGTTTCAGATTTTAGGTATTAATTATTACAATGAGCATACAAAATTTCAGGACAATCTGTTAAAGCGTTTCTGAGATAATTTGTACACAATATTTTGTGACATACACACACATACATCTGGACATTTGCTCAGAACTTCATATATATAAATTCTAGATAAAAAATGAGTCCATAAAACCCAATTTTAAAACATCGAACATCGTCACGAATGCAAAGCTTCTTCATGAGAAAGCAAAAATTATTGGAATTTACTAAGAATGAAAAAATGTATCATTACACAGGCACACAAAAAAAAAAAAGTTGTCTGTTTCTTGAACTACACATATATTTCCTATAGTATTTTGGCCCGCTGAAACCGAATCTGAGGTCAGAATTGCTCCATCACCCTCAGTTTTTTTTTAAATCGACCAAAACCACCCTTAAACGGACAAATTCACATTTCGGAGATAAAAAATAAATAAACTTATTTTTTAGAAAAACCAAATTTTACATCTACGAAACTTTGCTCCACTAACTCAAAAACAAAGCCAGCATTGATCCAGCACCCCCTGAATTTTTTTAATCAAAAAAACTACCCCTAATCTGAAGAATCAAATTCAGGAGGTAAAACAATAAAATAACTGATAAAAAATTTTATAACCAGGTATTTTTACTCCAGCAAGGCAGAAACAAATCCAGAAATGCTCCCTCACCCTCTAAATTTTTTTTAAATCGAAAAAACCACCCTTAAATAGAAAAATTCAAATTTAAGAAGTAAAAAAAAATACTTTACCGGCTTTTTTAAAAACAGAACCTTACATGTTTGTAGTTTTGCTCTACTAACTCAAAAAAACAAAGCCAGCATTGATCCAGCACCCCCTGAATTTTTTTAATCGAAAAAACTACCCCTAATCTGAAGAATCAAATTCAGGAGGTAAAACAATAAAATAACTGATTAAAAAATTTTATAACCAGGTATTTTTACTCCAGCAAGGCAGAAACAAATCCAGAAATGCTCCCTCACCCTCTAAATTTTTTTTAAATCGAAAAAACCACCCTTAAATAGAAAAATTCAAATTTAGGAGATTAAAAATTAAATAACTGACTTTTTTAAAACAGAAACTTACTACATATATGTATTTTCGCTCCACTAACTCAAAAACAAAGCCACCATTGATTCATCAACCTCTGAATTTGTTTAATCGAAAAAACTA